CCAACAAGACTTGAGAGATAAAAAAAAAAGTGAGAGGTTCAAGAACAGCCATGATACGTCTATCAACACGTGCCTAAATGAGATGTAGATACTAAAAATAACCTTTATGTAGATTGATAAGTGATTTGTATTCTTTTCAAAACTAAGCAGCATATATTGGTGAATTTCTTAGTCCAGTCAGGCATTGCAACCAATTTAGGCGCACCGGGTAAACTATAAGTTTTAACCCCTCTCCCATCCCCCTCGATATAATTTGTTGTTTTACTATAAACACAAAAGTTTAATATAGCAGTCTATTTTCTTGAGAGGAATACAGTTCAAAATGAGCTTTTTTTTTAAAAATCCCTAGGACAATGGGAGTTTGTTGATCTAGTCCAGGGGTCTCCAAACTACGGCTCGCGGGCCGGATGCGGCCCTCGAGGTCCTCTCATCCGGCCCGCGGAGATCTTTTTGTCCAAGGAAAAATCGTTTGTTGGTGAAGGCTGAGGAACTTTGCCCAGAAAAATCAAAGACATGCCTGGAAGAAACTGGCCCCCAAACTGAAATTTGATAGTTAATGCGGCCCTCGGACTGAAAAGTTTGGAGACCCCTGATCTAGTCTTTTAAAATCTAGATACATAAACCAATCTACTAAATCATCCAGACTATAGGAGTTTGCCCACTCTAGTAATAAATTAACCTGGGGTACAACTCAACAGATTCGTTTTACACTTGACTGGCTCAGCTAGCCGACCTGTAGCTAAGTTTCTAAGTACAGACTTGGTAATCTGGATGCGCACTGACCTTAAGGCGCTGGAAGACAACCTTCATCTCGGCAATGTGCTGGATGGCAAAAGGCACAAACAGGGTGGTGGACAACCTATTTGCCTGGAACAGGCCAATGGTGATGAATACTCTGTAGGGTGTCATGGAGCCTCCGACCAGGGCTAGGGTCGTAAATGTCGAGTACAAAACCACTTTTGCTGAGATAAAATAGGGGCCCAGGACAAACGCCTGAGTTCGACGAGCCGAGTGGATTTTCTTAATCTCTAGCCTGTGAAGTGGGAATATTATTCTAGTACAGAGTTCCGTTAACACTTTTACAGGCAGTTTTCATTTCATTCTCATGATTCATTTTGAGTGGATGCTCAAAGGTTTAAGAAAAACAACATCAAATACAGGGTTATTTTAAGGAAACAATACTTAAAGTCCATGCTATCAGTTGTTGGCTGTAATGTTAGTGAGTTAAAAAGGTGGAATTAAAAAAAAACTAATTCTAAAATTTTTAGCAAACAGTTTCTTTCCTTTCTCCTCAGCTAATGAATTACTGAAATTAAGATTCATTTTATAATATTTACGCTGGTATTTTTTTTTAATTCGTCGGCAAAGTGCTTTTTTTGCCCACACATGAAATTCATAGACCATTCTACCCAGACAAAAATGAGCAAAAAAAGATATTCCATTGACCCAAAAACCTAGCGAGCAAATAATAATTATACTGGAATAGATCACAGCAAATGGTATCCATGCCAAACTTATTTTTAACAGAAAAAAGAGAAACGTAGACCACAAGGGACCTATACTACAAATTTTAAAAATCTGATAATTAGCAACTAATAAGTGAAGACTAATAAGCATGGGTGCAAACATCCAGTACTTACTTAGTGGGCTTAGATAAGTAGAAACATTTATAAAAGCTATTTGTGTGTATACATAAATAGTTAGGCGAACTAAAGCTGTAGCAAGATAAACAAAAACTTTAAAAAAAAAAACTTGAATTTGTATGCATATATGTCCCAGTTTTCAGATACATTACAGTAACAGAATCTTAGCCTTCAACTGATACATTTGTCAAAGATAACATTTTCACAAAATAATTGTAATGGTACTTGCAACATTTGCAAATAGGCAGTGTCGATTCAATCTTGTCGCCAAATAAGAAGTTGGCTAAACCAACAAACTTCAAAGCAAAATAAAGAGAAAGATATGCCATAATTTTAAACTGCTAAACAAGTTACTATCAGCCATGATTTAAAACAGCTAAACAAACCATCATCAGCCATGATTTAAAACAGCTAAACAAATCATCATCAGCCATGATTTTTAACAGCTAAACAAGTCATCAGCCATGATTTAAAACAGCTAAACAAATCATCATCAGCCATGATTTTTAACAGCTAAACAAGTCATCAGCCATGATTTTAAACTGCTAAACAAGTTATCATCAGCCATGATTTAAAACAGCTAAACAAACCATCATCAGCCATGATTTAAAACAGCTAAACAAGTCATCAGCCATGATTTTAAACTGCTAAACAAATCATCACAAGGCCAGTAAAGCACAGCAAACAACTCAAGCTATACTTAAAGTTTCAGGGGCTCCAGTCAAAACACAACTGATATTGATTAACATACCAGTACTGATAGTTATAGACAGACAGGTACTGATAGTTATAGATAGACAGGCACTGATAGTTATAGACAGACAGGCACTGATGTTTATAGACAGACAGGTACTGATATTTATAAAACAGTGTCCTCCTTTCCATGTTACCAGTTTGACAGCCAACATTCTAAGAATTGTGACATCTTGTGTAATGATTGTTCCTTCAAAGCGAGAATTCCATTTTCTACAGATTAAGCCAGCCAATAATTTGAGTAAATATGTTGTTGTTCCATCCAGTAAAATATAATAAACAGTGACTTGAGTATTTAATACATCATCACAGGGTAATCAGGACAAAACAATTCCATCGAGTGAAGGACTGAGATGAAAATTATTTGTTGAGCAACTTCTGTTTTGCCATTGTAATTTTAATTTGTGTTAAGTGGAGGGAAGAAGTTGTAAATGATAAGAGAGTTTGTTAGGAAAAATTTGAGAGTACCTTATCACTCGGGATATAGCAGGGAACAGAGCCAGTGGTGAACGTTGGACACAGAAGAAAATCAATGATGAAGGTAAAGCCACAACCACCCTCAACCCTACTGCACTTTAATACTTCATTTCTATTCTCATCTTTATTTTTGTTCTAAAATTTTAAATAACTTATATTTTGCGTTTTTAGTTTTAATTCATCTTTAAAGTATTACTATAAAGGAATTAGCATTTTTTAAAGTTTCTGAAACAACTGAAGAAAATCTTCATGAATCTTATCATCATTAAAGTGAAATTTACAATTAAAAATAAACATAACCCCTAACTTCAGAATCAACTTGTCAGTTATACTACAAAGAATACAGATTCACTGAAAATGTTTTGTAACTTCTATTTTACCTACAATTATTTTCTTCTGATTGAAAGTGTTATTTAAAAGGATAAAAGGTTATTTAAGCAGGCACATGCAGTGTAACTAATTACAGAAAACAAGCTGAAGAAACATGCCTGCATACTGTAGTACTTTTTACTTATTGTATGTCTCAAATCATTATCAAAGCCAATCACCATTAAAAGTTTATGGAAATATTTTTGAAGCATAAATGTTCCTTTTTACTAATAAATGTTATTACTGGATAAATTGTTGTTTAAATTAATGTTTAATGGAAGAAGTTTAATATTCTATTGAAATTTAGTAGTACAGAATGCAAGGATAAACAATAATTCTAATTGTGCATCAAATATTGGTTAAATCAGTGTTGTTAGTAAAAATCTTAGCAACAAACAAAAAAATGCACAAAAAATATATACATAACATGCTATTTCTCTTTAATCAGCAACACTAAATATAAGCAATCAACATGTGTAATTTAGCTAGTATGGCAATAAAATTTATAGATGCAATTTTTAACAATAATTTTATCATCGTTAATCTTATCATTTAATTGTTATTTGTAATTGTAATCCTAATTAAAAATCTTAAAAATATAAAAGTAATATCAACATGTTTTTCTAAGTTTTAATTAGATTAAAATTAAGAATGTAGAATTTTTTATTTAAACATTTCAATAAATATTACAAAAGAATAAATGCATGCATGATAACCATATATTTTTAATTTATATTTTTAAAAATATAAAACAATTCTAAATATTTTGTCAAACTTCAAGCCAGTTAAGCTATAAAGTGATATAGACCTCTATTTTTATCTAATATAAGAAATGGCATTTTGAATTTCTTCAAAATTATTTCAGAAACATTTTAATACTATTTTTTTTTTAGATTAAAAAACAGATTTTTGCAATTTTTTTTAAAAACTATTTTAGAAAAAAATAAATGAATGCCTGCCTGCCACTGCAGACACCAGCATAAACTTTAATCAATTTGGAATTTTATGAGAAATAAAAAATTATACTTGTACTTTTTAAACAAACATAACTGACCTTTTAAACAGTAAAGATTTGAGTAAATAGGGAATGAAGCTTTAATTCTTTTAAACAATTTATTAGCGTAAATTTACTATCAAACTGCAATTACTTACTAACAATCTTTAAAATTACTTATAGTTTTAACTTAATATTTTTCAAGGAGATTTCACTTAAACTCCTTGAAGTCTGACAAAAGCAAAATCAAAGAACATATTCCACTGCTGCTTAAAATTAAAAACAAACTGATGCCAGAATGACAAATTTAAACTATCCAAGTAACCTCAAACCAGCAGCACTAATTTGGTGGCATGTTCAATAAAATAAAACCACCAGCCAAATAAGAGCAGCATGTACTGGTGTCTTGGTGTCCAGCAACTCTAGCCTTAGTTAAAGCAACAATGGAGTTTTTGATTTTATTTAGAATTGTAAACTTTATTCCTATCAGTAATACCTACCAATATTATCATGTAATAAACACTGCTAACTTATCATTTTAACAACTTATAGAAATCAATTAAAGCTTATTATTGCATAATTTGTTTGCATAGAATGATTTTTTTAAAATTCAGTATTATTAATATAATTTTCACAAGTTTAGCAAAAAATTAAACTTCAAAAAAACATTAAATGTAAAATATTTAAAATTCAACATCATTTTAACAGAAGTAGTTCAAGGATAAAAAGGAACAGATGAGGAAATGGAGAATGTTGTGACTTACCTGCGAATCTTCTCAACCAGCTCTCCGAAAGGTTTCTCCCAACAGTACATCTTGATGACCCTCATCCCTGAGATGATTTCGTTCATGACCTTGACCCTTTCGTCTGTGTGGATTGCAGTTTTGTGTCTGCACAATACAAAAAAAATTCTGGTTGAACAGCATACAACAATTGACTGATGCATTCAGATTGTGCCAAGTTTCTGTGACTAATGGTTTCTACGGTAGCTGCACCATCTTGAAGTGAACAACTGTATTACTGACGCAACTAGCTAGTTAACCAGGCAATGCAGAGTTGTGTCTAAATGACAACCATCATCTACCAGGTTACAGGTTCAAATACCAGTCATACCAAGGTGTTCTTTCAGGGTTCATTCAGCTGTGTTATGGGACGGCATGGTCAAGTAGCAGAGCGCACAACTGCTTACACACAAGTCACAAGTTCAAAAAATGCACTGGAGACCATGCAGTTCTCTTAGACACCTAACTCACATCAGGGGAAAATTAAGGTGGCTGGGCACAGTGCAGACCACACTATACCTTCAAATGCTGAGGCCAGAGAAACAGGTAAACTCTACTTCATCTACCCCATGGCCCACCAGGTTCAAAAGGGTGTGACCTACTTAGGTCGAGTCATTTTTATTTTGACATTGTATAATTCCTTATATGGAATGATGGTGTAACACCTGGGGTTTTTCCACTGACTTATTAAGGTGTTTGAGACATAGAAATTTTCCATTAAAATCTGATTGAATGATTCTGATCAGATGATTATCCCAACCAATGGCGACATGAGTTGAGGATAACCTCCCCTGTCACAGAAGTCTTTAATTGCACTGCACACTCGCAACACGAGGCAGTTTTTCTTGACCTGGCAGTCTACGAGGCCGTTTTATCTTGATCAGACAGCCGTCCATATTGTCCGGCTTTAGACTCTGACCATTTGAACGTGAGAGTACTTAAGACCTGTGTGTGCCTTGCTTTCTTCAGTTGATTTAGTCTTCTAGTTTAATATTACTTGTCGCTAAGTAAGTCTTGAAGCTACAACAGTGTTGTGTGGCCTGTAGCTGTTCTTTGGACAGTGTAGAAATCTGTGATAGTGTTTTTTTCCTACATCGTGTAAGTTGGGTTTTTGATATTTTATACATTAAATATTTTATCTAGTTTCAACCTTGTGTTTTGCCACTTCTGTGTTCGCTGATTAAAGGTTATATGTAGATTGGATGAGTGTTAATTACAATAGTATCACTAGCTTCCCTAGACATTAAATTCGAGCCCTAGTGGTCGTTGTGTTAAGGTTCATCCACTTAGGCCGTAAGGTATTTGCATATGACCCCGAAAAAAGAATCCGGGAACGTTCTCCTTCTATTTGGCTGATAGATAGGTTAACGTTACAAAGTGGGGGCCCGTCCGGGATTTAATCTGTCGTTCCAGTTGTTGTTTATATCAGTTGAATACTAAGGTTAGTTGGATTTAGTTGTTTTTATATCCAGTGTAGCGCCGTGGTCTTACAACGCGCGCTCAGGCTAGAGTATCTAGGTCAAATAAGCAGACGTGTCACGTCCTACATTTAGAGGTCAAGTACACGGCCCAACGCTGTGTATTAATTTAAAGGATCTAGGCTTGTTGTGATTTGAAAGTTAGTGTTATGGAGTCTTTTTTGGCTAATCCTACTGTTGAAGATGTAGAAAAGTTGAGTAGAAAAGTTTTGGTTAGTGTTGTTAAGGAATTGAAATTGGATTATTCTGTTACGCAGAAGTCAGAGGTGTTGAGAGATAAAGTTGTTGTTCATTTTATTAATGAAGGGGTATTTGATGAAAGTTTGTTGGCTGGTGTGTTACTCCGCGAGGAGAAAGTTGCTTTAGAGAAGGCATTAAAAGAACAGGAGTTAAAGGTTAAAATTGCTTTAGATAGGAGGAGGTTGGAATCAGAATTTGGTCAAGTTAGTGATGTCACTTCTCTGGTAGATCCAAAAAAGTTATCGGTAGGGCAAGTGATTGCCAAATTTGGGAAATTAGTTCCTAAATTTGATGAAACAGATTTGGTCGTTTTCTTTAACTCGTTTGAGAGTTTAGCGAAGACTTGTGAATGGCCCGAAACCTCCATTACTGCTTTATTGAGTTCTGTCCTTACTGGGAAAGCTGCAAAAACATACCAGGCACTCTCTCACGACGTTCAAAATACCTATAGTTTGGTCAAGACTGCCATTTTAAAGGCCTACGCACTGACGCCCGAGGCCTATCGGACAAAATTCCGAACACTCCGCAAGTTACCCACACAATCATATGTGGAATTTCTCTTCGAAAAGGAGAAAATATTCTCAAGGTGGCTACACTCTGAGGAAGTTTCTGAGTTTGAGAAACTCAGGTCACTTATCCTAAGGGAAGAATTCCTATCGTCCCTGCCTGAAGAGATACGACTACACATTCTGGATAACAAGATAACTGACATCCAGAAGGCTGCTGAGTCGGCTGACACATATATGTTGGTGCATAAGAAACCACCAGTGTCAGGAAACCGCCTCAACCCCGTGCTTCCCCTTTTTGGCAGCAATCATCCTGTTGGCCAACATTTGAAGGCATCACAGTCCAGAGAGAAACCAAGATCAACTCTCAATCGTCGAGCGGTATGCCAGTTCTGCAAAAGGCCTGGTCACCATGTCAAGGACTGTTACAAACGTCGTCAATATAACAGAGAGGTGGTGCGTACTTCCGCGCACTATGCTCTATCCCCTCAAGCAGCCAGTTCAACTATGAACTCTAGAATTGTAAAGGACTCTAACCCTAAGTGTCCGCAAGAAGGTAGTCAAGTCTCCACACATTATGTGCAGTCACATTTTGACTGTTCTCGCCACCATCCAGTTTCTTTCGAGTCTACCGATCTCGAGGGATCGAGAAAAGTTGACTTTTCATCTTTTATTGCCGAAGCCATCATTAGCAAACCAGGTGATCCGTTGTCTCAGAAGAATATCACCGTTCTAAGAGACACAGGAGCGTCACAATCACTCCTTTTGAAAAGTTCAATGGACATTTCACCAGAGACGAACACCGGAAGGATTTCCATTATCCAGGGAGTAGGGACGAAATCTACTGTCGTCCCTCTACACAAGTTCGCCCTGAAACATCATCTCGTCGAAGGTGAAATCATTTTAGGTGTGATAGATAGTATTCCAGTCCCAGGAGTACACCTACTTCTAGGGAATGACCTTGCGGGAAGCAAAGTATACCCCTGTACGGTTTCAGACCCTTTGTCAACAGTTCCAGATAATGATTATGAACTGTATCCTGCATGTGCGGTGACAAGAAGCCAGACCAAACAATTGGCTGACACAACGTCTGAACCACACCCGCCATCATCGTCAAGAAATTCGACTCCCAAATTGGAGTCTATGCTTCCAGAAAACACAAGTCTGGGCTTACCCCTGAGGATATCTCAGGAAGACATCATTAAAGCTCAAGAAGTCGACGCGGAACTCAAGGCAACGGTCGAAAAATCTCTATCATCTGACGATGGAGAATATTTCTCCGAGAATGGCCTCTTCTTTCGTCGCGCTATACCAGTGAATGCCTCACCAGCCGAACCATGGTTGAGTAAAAACCAGCTGTGGATCCCTCCACCTTATCGGCATGAAATACTTAAGCTGGCACATGACCATCCAATGTCAGCGCACCCAGGTGTCACTAAAACGACGGCGAAGATCAAAGAACTGTTCTTTTGGCCCAAAATGAGAAAAGATGTGTCGCGTTACTGTAGAAGTTGCACGAACTGTCAGTTGGCCGGAAAGCCAAACCAGACAATTCCTAAGGCCCCTTTGAGTCCGATTCCTGTATTAGAAGAACCTTTTTCTAAAATCGTCATGGACTGTGTAGGTCCCTTGCCTAAAACCAAGGCGGGCAACGAGTACCTACTTACCTTTATGTGTTCAAGTACCCGTTTTCCCGAGGCGATTCCCTTACGGAACATTAAGGCAAAGACTGTAGTCAGAGCCATGACCCGGTTCTTCACTACCTTTGGATTACCTAGAATCGTCCAAACAGATCAAGGCAGCAACTTCACCAGTCACCATTTTCAGGAAGCGCTAGCCAAGCTAGGCGTTACCCACATCACCAGCTCAGCCTACCACCCTCAGTCTCAAGGCGTACTTGAGAGGTTCCACCAAACCCTCAAAACCATGCTAAGGTCATTCGCTAACAGTAACACCCAATGGGATGAGTCTGTTCCTTGGATTATTTTCGCCGCGAGGGACTGTGTCCAGGACTCTTTAGGCTACTCGCCTTTTCAACTTGTGTTTGGACATTCTGTCCGTGGCCCCCTGAAGCTGATACACGAACGTTGGACAGGTACCAGTGATCATCCAGTGGAAAACTTCGACGATTTTCACGTTCGACTGAAAGCCGTGTGCGAAATGGCTCACAAGAACTTAAGAAAGGCCCAAGTGAGAATGAAAGGACTGTATGATAAGAGTTCTTGTAAACGAACATTCAATCCAGGCGACAAAGTTCTTGTGCTAGTACCTAATCTGAACAATGCGTTATCCTTGAGATATTGTGGACCCTTTACTGTGCATTCAAAATTAAGTGATTTGAACTATGTTGTCAATACGCCCGACAGAAGAAAGAAACAGACAGTGTATCATGTCAACTCACTGAAAAAGTATTATGATAATTGTAACAATTTTCAATCCACAGCTAAAATTACTTTACCTGTATGTTCAAATGTTTCTGATGATGTGATACATGATAAATTGAAACCCCCAAAATTGGTAAATTCTTCCTTTTTAGATAATTTGAATGTCCACCTTATGCATTTGTCCACAGAGGAAAGCCATAGGTTGTCTCAATTGTTTGAGACATTTCCCTCTATTTTTGGGGATGTCCCCAAAGAAGCGAAAGTACCACCTCATGATGTAGACGTTGGTGACGCAAAACCCATTAAACAACACCCCTATAGAGTTAATCCGGAAAAAGCTGCTTTGATAAAAGATGAAATTGATTATATGCTCAAGAATGATATCATTGAGCCCAGTTTCAGCAACTGGAGTTCCCCATGTCTCCTAGTACCGAAAGACGGTGGATCTTTCAGGTTTGTGACCGACTTTAGGAAGGTGAATGCGCTCACCAAAGCTGATTCCTATCCATTACCTCGGATAGAGGACGTTATTGATAAAGTTGGTCAGGCTAAAATAATTTCCAAAATTGATTTACTTTCAGGATACTGGCAAATCCCCTTATCTGACCGTGCAAAAGAAATATCTGCTTTTGTAACCCCTAATGGTTTTTATAGATACAAACGTATGCCCTTTGGTATGCGAAATGCTGGTCAAACTTTCCAGAGGGTCATTAACTCTGTCATTGCTGACATAGACCAATGTGAGGCCTACATAGATGATATAGTTGTATTTTCTAATACTTTTGAAGAACATATTGTTCAATTGACTAACCTTTTTAGAAAATTGTCTGAAGTTAATTTTACTGTAAACTTATATAAAAGTGATTTCTGTAAAGCTTCAATTACCTATTTGGGTTATCAAGTGGGAACGAACCAAGTTCGGCCCATTGAAGCTAAAGTAGATGCTATTGTAAAGTGCCACCACCCAAAAATTGTAAAGAGATCAAAAAGTTCCTTGGGATGGCTGGTTACTATAGGCGGTTCTGTCAAAACTTTTCAGCTATTGCTGAACCTCTTACTGCATTATTGAAAAAGGGTGTTGAATTTGAATGGTCCAATAAATGTCAAGAAGCTTTTTTAACCATTAAGTCATTTTTATCAAATGCTCCTGTTATGGCTGCACCAAATTTCAGCCAGCCCTTTAAACTTGCCATTGATGCTAGCAACTTAGCCATTGGCTCAGTCCTATTTCAAGAAGACAACATGGGAATTGACCATCCCATTGCCTTTTTTTCCAGGAAGTTAAATGAGAACCAAAAGAATTATTCTACTATTGAAAAAGAAGCTTTAGCTTTGGTTTTATCATTACAACATTTTGAAGTCTATGTCTCTTCTTCAACCAATCCAGTCAGAGTGTTTTCTGACCATGATCCCCTGAAATTTACCTCTAAGTTAGGACAGACAAATCAAAGAATATTGAGATGGTGCTTATATTTCCAAAATTTTAATCTGGAAATTTCACACATTAAGGGTAGTAATAATGTTGTGGCTGATTGTTTGTCAAGGATGTAAAATCTTGTTACACACATTGATCATGTGACATGCTTTGTGGTTCATTAGGACCATAAACAGGTTTTGTTTGAGTGTCACTCATATGAAAATGAGTGGTGTGAGTTTTGAATTTTTTTCAAAATCCCATCCTGTTGAATATTTTGTTTATTTTCAGGTGAACCTTAATTAAAGGTGGTTTTTGATTATATGTAATCTTTTATAATAAAATGTCTCATATGACTCAATTGATATTGTAGCTAGTCATTGAAATAAAGGTCTTACCCTGGCGGGTTTACCACTTTTAATATCCTCATGGAAATATTGTAATACCCTTTTTTGAGGGATTTTGATGTATAATTACTTTTTGAAGGGTTACTCCCCTTTCACCAATTGTAAAAGTTGGAGTTACTTCCCTTTTATGTTCAGGGATATTTTCATCTGGTATTATGATTTTGATTGCCTACATTTGTAAAACATTTTTGTTATTTCATTGCCAGATTGGTTCCTTATGTATTTTTTTGTGGAACCTATCTGTCACTTCCAAAAAGGGAGGGGATGTGACCTACTTAGGTCGAGTCATTTTTATTTTGACATTGTATAATTCCTTATATGGAATGATGGTGTAACACCTGGGGTTTTTCCACTGACTTATTAAGGTGTTTGAGACATAGAAATTTTCCATTAAAATCTGATTGAATGATTCTGATCAGATGATTATCCCAACCAATGGCGACATGAGTTGAGGATAACCTCCCCTGTCACAGAAGTCTTTAATTGCACTGCACACTCGCAACACGAGGCAGTTTTTCTTGACCTGGCAGTCTACGAGGCCGTTTTATCTTGATCAGACAGCCGTCCATATTGTCCGGCTTTAGACTCTGACCATTTGAACGTGAGAGTACTTAAGACCTGTGTGTGCCTTGCTTTCTTCAGTTGATTTAGTCTTCTAGTTTAATATTACTTGTCGCTAAGTAAGTCTTGAAGCTACAACAGTGTTGTGTGGCCTGTAGCTGTTCTTTGGACAGTGTAGAAATCTGTGATAGTGTTTTTTTCCTACATCGTGTAAGTTGGGTTTTTGATATTTTATACATTAAATATTTTATCTAGTTTCAACCTTGTGTTTTGCCACTTCTGTGTTCGCTGATTAAAGGTTATATGTAGATTGGATGAGTGTTAATTACAATAGTATCACTAGCTTCCCTAGACATTAAATTCGAGCCCTAGTGGTCGTTGTGTTAAGGTTCATCCACTTAGGCCGTAAGGTATTTGCATATGACCCCGAAAAAAGAATCCGGGAACGTTCTCCTTCTATTTGGCTGATAGATAGGTTAACGTTACAAGGGGTAACCTCCCCCAGCTGTAATAGGACACCCAGCACTGGTGTTGGTGGTTGAAGATGTCTGATTAGTCCATTTTTATGCATCATTTTTGCTAATAGTTTTAAATTTTAACTTATGAATAGCTAATTTCTATAAATTCAATTTATAAAAAATGAAATTTATTTCTTTGTTTTGAAAAATACATTGTGTTAGAACGATAAATATTAATAAATTAATGTTTTATATTTCTTTTTTCCACAGGTGCCCTCCCTTGATAAAAAAAAAATCAAACCTCAGTTTAGAGAAGAGCTTCCCCATGAAGCCTTGCACCGGGATAAGTAGGAGCAGGACAAAAAATCCTGCCAGGACAGAGGGCCCCAGCTCATGCCAGAGTATGACTAGAACAGCGATGGCCTGAAGGGGGCCGACCCACAGGAAGTGGAGAAACACAACAGCCTGATGGACAAGAGAGATGGCAGATCATTAAACACCTGTTCTCACACACAGGGCAACATATTATGCATTAAACAAACAAAAAATTAATTTGTAAAAAAAAATGTATCTGATATTGAGATTACTAAAACAAAAATTAGATTTTTTTAAAAACCAAGCTTACAATGCTAATTTTCATAAATCCACATCTTTTTTTTTTAAATTGTAAAAGTTAATTGAATCTGGTAGCGCATATATGTACTTGGATTCTTGGATTTTATTTAACCATAGCATTAATGTTATGTGAGTATTTCAAACACATGACACTATGTTGCTGGCCTAGAGAAGGTAAAGCAGATAGGACTTAATAAAAGGGAGCTCACTTGATCAAACCTATTGACATCGTTGGACATCAGGTTGACAATCTGGCCAGTGGTTGTCTCCCCCATTGCTTTGTTGCTGAGTTTTAGACACTGGAACAAATTGTTACAATAGCAGATCAAAGCATGTTTTAATCAAAGAAAAGTGTTACAAAATGGGATCATGTTACAAAATGAGATCGAAGTTATGTTTTAATCACAAAAAAATACATTTTTTAACAAATGACCAGAAACATGTGCAATGGAAAACGATTTTCAGGGTCCATAGCCAAATCCCAAAAGAAAATTCAAGGGTTTTTCAAGGTTTTCAAGGTGATTTTGGGGGGAATTTCAAGGTAAAAACTACCACTAACAGGCATTACAATGAGGGTGATGTATGTTTTTTGCACACACAATTTTTAACATAATGTTGGTGTGATTACAAAATTATCTAAGTCAGGAGATTGTCTGAGTCCAGCATAATCCCTTTTGCAATCAGTATCTTTGGTGTCAAATGACACTCCTCCAACTTCTATTTTCAGAAAAACCTCTTTCAACACTGGTTTGACCATGTGACAGAAGCAATAGATCTCTAACAATTTTCCAAATGTTCACATAAGAAATTTTGCTACCAAGCTGTTCTATGAAAAAAATGTCCAGCCTATCATGTTCTCTATTAGATTTAGATAGACAACTATTTAGAGTACATGTATCTATGAATGTTGAAAATTGAAACATAACTTGGTCACACTTGATAGTGAACAGGCTTTATTTTCCAACAATTGCAATAGAGGCAGGCTAAATTTCTCACTAATAACTAAAGTAAAGGAGGTTTTAACAAAAAATTTGATGAAAACTGTATTAATGGTGTCTTAATATCAGATTTGAACAAAAAATTTGAAGATCACTTATTTTATTTTTAAGAGACTGTAATAGAGAGTCAGCAACAAACCCAACTTCAATTGAATGACTTGTCAAGTGATAATCAGAATCAGTGACATTAAATGACAGTATGTCGCTAGTTGTTTTTAAGGTATCTAATTTACTTTCCTTCACAAATGCCTGAGAATTCCAAATGTCAAGTGATGTAGGTCATTATACATAAAAGTAAGCATTGGTTTGTCTGTCTGATAGTCCTTAAAAAAGGGCTCTAGTTGCCTACATTTAGAAACAAAAAAAAACTAGCTTTGCTTGTAGAAATTTATCCTGCTCAATGGCAGTTTTTACTATTTAAAATGGCTTATTTTTAGGTTGAGTATTCTCTCCTTTGCTAATGTTGTCCAAGTATTTTGAGCGACATTAGAGTTTTCTAGCCAGCAATGTATGCAAAAGTGAAGAGGAAATATAGAAGATCCAGTTGCTTGTGGAATCTCCCCTCCTAGCTGGAGTGGCTTCAAAAAATTAGTCCATGTTTTTAGCCTCCATAACTGCTTTAGCAGCTCCATGAACATTGTGTAATCCACAGATTCCAACATTAAGGAGCATTGAAACATTCTGCTTATCATGAAATTGACATAAGCAGGGCTGCCTACCCTAAAAAGATTTTTTTCAGTAACAAGAGAATAGATTTTCCGTAATAATTGGATACTGTCTGTAACTTTCAGTAGTTGGACACATTTTTTTTATACAACGTAAATAAGACCAATTTTATTTTATCCCATATTCTCAGCGTAATGATGGTAATGGGCTACGTGTCATAGCGTAGATAGATAAGAGACTAATAAGGACGGTGTAAACTTGACGGTAGATGATTCGGTTCGAGAGTATTTGTGGCACGAGTAAGGCGTGAGCGTGACGCAAAAATGTTACCGATGACGTAGGACGCAGGAGTGAAGACAGTTGGGGGTTAGCCATAGTTGGAAAAGGACCTGTTGTATATTTTTGTAGTATAATTCTAGCTCGTTTAGTATTACTAATACGATATCAACAACTTTGATCATAAAATAGAATTAACTTTATTATCAAATACTAATACTATTAGTATTTGATAATAAAGTTAATTCTATTTTATGATCAAAGTTGTTGATATCGTTAACTTAGTGTCGTCGGAAAATACGAGTGTTCCCGCCCTCAGTTGGAGTGTTAGTTATACTAGTCTTCACATAGATTCATATAGCAACGCATGCATTTCCCCCCATCACACTACGTTACCGTACTCGTACAACTTTTTATTTTAAAGAAATTGACTAATTTTTAAAAAAAAACGCCGCGAAATTCAGCGTGTAGGGCCACAAGGGAAAATCTCAAATAGGGATTGTTCTTGCTATGATAGGCCTACAGTCCTACACTGCCATCTAAACCAATGTGAACTCAGTGACCCCTCGACAGTGTCAGGATTTTTTCCCCGCTCACAACAAAACGTGAGAGGCCGATCGCAGGGGTGACGATGTTTAGAATTAGCATATTTCTTGAATTTTTTTTTTTTTAAATCTAGATTTTATCTAGGTAATATTTAGAACAGATGGTTTTTTTTTTTTTGAAAATACGACCCGTGATTGATCTAGTTTCGTAAAAACGCGTCTTCTCGCACATCTCAAAAAACAGAACACAATACCTCGATAAATAAAGTCTCGCTAATTAGTATTTAGCCACAATTTCGCAGCTTCGGTTCACCCTTTCGCGTTTTACCAACACCCAGATAATTTTAACATAAATATTATATAATAAATTTTATTATTTAAACCTGAGGCTTGTTTTCTTAAAGAAAAAAAAGTAGATCTAGATGTAGGTTTAATTTTAATCGAGATAATTTCCATGCGCAACCAGATTTTCAATTATTTAGATTCTAGGCCACCGATCTTTTTTTTTTTACGGACATCACCAATGATCACGAGGTACTACAGACCACTCGCGGGGTCAATAAAGTTCACAAAATAGCAAAAGACTGCCGACTTCCAAGATATTGGCGGGAAGGGATGGGGGAGGGGGGGGGGGGAGCGATTGTTACAGAAGATACTTGAAACCATAGAACTGGATACCACAAGAAAAAAAAATGACGCCAATTCGATTCTGATGTTTACTGTAGGCATGATTCCGTAATATGGGCGTAGGCGTCAAAATCGAAAAATTACGGACAAAACCGTACAAGTAGGCAACACTGAATCTAGTGACACGGTCTAAAACGGAGATACCCGAAAAAGATGCTAAATTTAGCCCTCCGCTATCGTTTACGTTAGGCCTACGATCTAGAATCTAGGAGCATATGCAAAACTGGTGAGGTTAAAGGTCCCGCCGCGCAGCACAGCGGAGGAGAGGGTAGGAAATAGTATTATAGTAGGCTTTACTAAGTTTACGCAGACTCATCAACGATAAAAAAAAAAGCCAGAAAAATACATTTTAGGTCCATCGGAATGGAATTAAAAAGAAATTCGATTTATGCACGGTTTTCAAGGTTTACCTATAAAATTCAAGGGTTTTTGCTCATTTTTGGGGAAATTCAAGGGTTTTTCAATGCCTTGAGATGTTTTTTGGAATTCAAGGGTTTTTCAAGGATTCAAGGTCCGCTACGGACCCTGGATTTTTTTAAAAATCCGTCATTTGAGGGTATAAGCAAAAAATGACCACATATACATTGCACCATAATAAAACACTTTCCATATAATATGACAAAATGAAAATGTATTCATTCTAATTCGTTTGTATTTGCGCATCTTCTGTTTGCTTAATTTTCAATAGAGTATTTTTCCAATTACACATTTTACTGCGATTCATTTTAATCACTAGAAATTGTTACAAAGATGAGTTAATCACTACGATAAAATTTGAAAATTATTTTAAAAATGTGTTTAACTAAATAAAAATTTATAAGGAATGTTGCTCATATACCAGATCAAGTTGGAAATTTTAATTTACTAAGATGAAGATAATATGCAAAATTGCAATTCATAATTTCATTACCAAGAAATAAATAAACAATTGAATGACTATAGATATAGACTAGGTTTTGAGTAGGGTCCAGGATTTAGATAGCGGCCCTACCAAAAAGACTGACAAACATCCTATAAAGGTTTCAACCAGTACAAAATCATACAACTACCAACCTTTTTATACATGAGGGAACAACAAGCTATTCTCATGCGCATGCCAATCCTTTGCACACAGAAGAAATAGGGGTGGTGTGTTATGGCTAGCACTATAGCACACATGGACACACCAAAGGCATACAGCCATGCCTCGGACTTTGTCACCGTGGAGTCTGGTGTGAAGTATCGGATGAGACCACCCAACAAGATGGGCTGGAAAACTTTGGTTGCCTCCTGTTCAAGGGAAGAAAATAGTATTATTGTTGCCATATCTTGAGTACATCTCTCTTACATACAGTTCTTGGATCATAAACTAGTTCCCCACCCCAGCAATTATAACCCCCCCCCCCCCACACACACACACACACATACATACACACATACACACTCACCCATTATGTACTCACCTCAAACAAAACCACAAACCCCACCAACATGTACTGAACACCAAATGTGTGCAACAATGCTCTAAGCAGACTTGGGTTTTTTCCATCTTTCTTTAACTGTTTATTCCACTCACTGAAATAGATATTTAACAAAAATACAGTTTTACAAAAATATAACATGACATTTCGTTTCAAACTGCTCAGTGCTGTTGTAAAGCTATGTAAGACATATTTTAAAATTGTTTTTTTTTACAAATATTAAATTATCTGGCAATCATTTTTTGTGTAAAAAAAAGAAGTTAGTTGAGTCTTAAGACAATTAACAGTGGGTTTGATGTTTCAAAATCATCTTCCCTTTCATAGAAGATAATCTTTATACAAGATGTGACAGCAACCCAATACGGGAGTACAATCATCATGATAAGGGACAGGTATTATCTTTATACTAGGAAAGATAGAAATGGAAGCAGTTTTTGAAAAAATTGAAAAAAGAGGATGGCGCAAGTCATAAGAATGGATTTAGATGATACCACAGGAATGGCGATAAACTGGATGCCTCAAGGAAAAAAGAAAACAGAAGGCTAAGGGAGACTTCAAAGCAGCTGGCAGAGGCAGGACTGTCTGTGTGGACTGCCAGAAAAATTACTGGAGACCAACAAAAGTGGAGGGAGCTTTCTGTGGCGGCCCCATGTGTCTTTGGAAAAGAAATGAAAAGATGATTGTTTGTATTTTTCTGATCACTGAAATGATAGTGTAGTCAGTACTATCTCCAGGCAAATAAAGTTCTCTGTGTTTCAGGTCAGGGAAGGTTCCCATCAGGGCTAAGTGGACTGATGGACATACTACTACATCAAGCACCATTGAACCAAACTTGTGACCTTATGTTTGGTAACAGTGGACTCACTCATACAACACCACTGACTGTAACCAGCCACCTGTGGGATATTTTACTTACGTCCCCATATGTCACCACACAAAGTTTACAAGCATCAGGTGCTAACAGATCAATAACCACCTGGTTAGTATGCTAATGTGATGCTGCTGTGTTAACCCATTTATTAGTCATTGTTATGGTCCAGTGAGCAGAGTGACTTGGCTCCACTATGGCATGGTGGTGAGTTATGACTTACAGACCAAGGGAACATGATGTCAAGTATACTTACTGACCAGGGGAACATGAGGTCAAGATGACTTACAGACCAAGGAACATGAGGTCAAGATGACTTACTGACCAAGGGGACATGAGGTCAAGATGACTTACAGACCAAGGAACATGAGGTCAAGATGACTTACTAACCAAGGGGACATGAAGTCAAGATGACTTACAGACCAAGGAACATGATGTCAAGATGACTTACTGACCAGGGGAACATGAGGTCAAGATGACTTACTGACCAAGGAACATGAGGCCAAGATGACTTACTGACCAAGGGAACATGAGGCCAAGATGACTTACTGACCAAGGGAACATGAGGTCAAGATGACTTACTGACCAAGGGAACATGAGGTCAAGATGACTTACTGACCAAGGAACATGAGGTCAAGATGACTTACTGACCAAGGAACATGAGGTCAAGATGACTTACTGACCAAGGAACATGAGGTCAAGATGACATACTGACAAAGGGAACATGAGGTCAAGATGACTTACTGACCAAGGAACATGAGGTCAAGATGACTTACTGACCAAGGAACATGAGGCCAAGATGACTTACTGACCAAGGGAACATGAGGTCAAGATGAATTACTGACCAAGGGAAAATGAGGTCAAGATGACTTACTGACCAAGGGAACATGAGGTCAAGATGACTTACTGACCAAGGGAACATGATGTCAAGATGACTTACTGACCAAGGAACATGATGTCAAGTTGACTTTCTGACCAGGGGAACATGAGGTCAAGATGACTTACTGACCAAGGGAACATGAGGTAAAGAAGACTTACAGACCAAGGAACATGAGGTCAAGATGACATACTGACAGTGACATGACTTATTGACGTGACCATGTGTTGGAGCAACACTGACATAATTAAACCAGTGTTTATATAAGCCCATAGTGGATGGAGATAAGGCACATGTGTATAGTGTAACTAATTGGTTTGTACACAATACATGTATAGACCAGACCATGGGTTTTACACAATACATGTACAGATCAGACATGGGTTGTACACAATACATGTACAGATCAGACATGGGTTGTACACAATACATGTATAGACCAGACCATGGGTTTTACACAATACATGTACAGATCAGACATGGGTTGTACACAATACATGTACAGATCAGACATGGGTTGTACACAATACATGTATAGACCAGACCATGGGTTTTACACAATACATGTATAGACCAGACCATGGGTTTTACACAATACATGTACATATCAGACCATGGGATGTACACAATACATGTACAGATCACACAAAGGGTGTACACAATACATGTATAGACCAGACATGGGTTGTACACAATACATGTACAGATCAGACACGTGTTGTACACAATACATGTATAGACCAGACCATGAGCTGTACACAATACATGTACAGATCAGACCATGGGCTGTACACAAAACATGTACAGATCAGATACGTGTTGTGCATAATACATGTACAGATCACACATAGGTTGTACACAATACATGTACAGATCAAACAAACATGAGACTGACAATGGGATAAAAAAAAACGTAAGGAGATGAACTCATTGAGGCTCCAGTATTTATGCTCTGGTGGTAATCATAGGGGAAAAATATTTAAATACTGATGGCTAAAGCTTAGCATTGCCATTGTGTTACAATGTGGAACACAATCAATGAATTATAAATAGAACTAAACAGCATGGTCGTGTATGTTGAAAGCAGCTAGTGTTGTGAGTTATGCCCACACGTCAGCGCTAACCAACTTGTGGGACACGGGCTTACAATTAAATATGACATATAATTAAATATGATAGTAATTAAGGCAAGGAAAAAACGTAATCGTTGGCTTTCATGAACTCTATGCACCCACCCCACCCCAACTCCAATTCAACAGGAACTCTATTCACTCTATCTTCCCGCCCCATTTTAAATCTCATTTGCCATCGTCATAACATTAACATCGTTTGAATTGTAAACCAATTACACGTGTGACGTCAAACCGTCGTCTGCCAAGCACCAACAGGTGTACATAGACAAAAAAAAACCTGTTTTAAAAACCAGGTCTCCCCCACCCCACCCATCAACTCCACACACAGCCGAGGTAGGACGTTATGCAACAAGGCAACACATAACATTTCCAATGGCAAGAGATTCAAGCGTCTGGTTATTGAACCACGGCAAGCGTTAAGGTATTTTTTTACACAGCGGGTCGTTGTGGCTGCTTTAGTTTTTAAAACCAGAATAGTCAGAATCAACCCACAGTCGGAACAATCAACCCCAGGTCGGAACCACAGCGAGGGTTGAAGGAATTACACAGCGGGTCGTTGTGGCTGTTTTAGCTTTTAAAACTTTAAAACCAGAATAGCCAGAATCTACCCCAGGTGGGAACCACAGCGAGGGTTGAAGGAATTACACAGCGGGTCGTTGTGGCTGTTTTAGCTTTTAAAACTTTAAAACCAGAATAGCCAGAATCTACCCCAGGTGGGAACCACAGCGAGGGTTGAAGGAATTACACAGCGGGTCGTTGTGGCTGTTTTAGCTTTTAAAACTTTAAAACCAGAATAGCCAGAATCTACCCCAGGTGGGAACCACAGCGAGGGTTGAAGGAATTACACAGCGGGTCGTTGTGGCTGTTTTAGCTTTTAAAACTTTAAAACCAGAATAGCCAGAATCTACCCCAGGTGGGAACCACAGCGAGGGTTGAAGGAATTACACAGCGGGTCGTTGTGGCTGTTTTAGTTTTTAAAACTTTAAAACCAGAATAGCCAGAATCTACCCCACAGGTCGGAACAATCAACCCCAGGTCTAAACCACAGCGAGGGTTGAAGGAATTACACAGCGGGTCGTTGTGGCTGCTTAAGCTTTTAAAACCAGAATAGCCAGAATCTACCCCAGGTCTTTGCTTGATTACTTCAAAAAAGAACCTGGTCCACATTCCACCTGTATAACATGCTATGAGACAAGGATCCTCAATTCTCATACAGCGGTGTAAGGACGTGTACTTGGCTTCAACTATTATAGACTACGTTGTATTTCATTCTCTTATTAAAAAAAAAAAAGAGTGATTTTTTTAACCATGAGATGAAACCCGTGCCTTTCATGTAGCTCGACCCCGTGAACCGAGCCCATCATGTCCCCACCCCTCCTGCTCCACACACTAACTTCAGATAGATGACCGCACAACGTACAGCCTACATTTTCCTTTATGTTCTTTCCAAAGTGTAACAATTGCTTACACATGTAACAATACCTTACACGTGTAACAATAGCTTACACGTGTAACAATAGCTAACATGTATCTACAACCTCACCTACCACTACATAGACAATCTACAGCTACCCACACCATCAATGACAGCAGTATAACGCTGTCACGTCTAGCAGAGTCAAAGTTCGATCCAACTAGTAGCTAAACCACGACAGTTATCTCCCTGTCTTCTTCGTGCCATGGCAGTAAACCAACGTAGGGCCTAGCATGACACACATACATTGTTCTAGTTGGAATAAGATACTGCTTTAAATCAACTATTTGACACACATACATTGTTCTAGTTGGAATAAGATACTGCTATAAAGCAACTATTTGACACACATACATTGTTCTAGTTGGAATAAGATACTGCTTTAAATCAACTATTTGACACACATACATTGTTCTAGTTGGAATAAGATACTGCTATAAAGCAACTATTTGACACACATACATTGTTCTAGTTGGAATAAGATACTCCTTTAAATCAACTATTTCATTATCAAGTAGCGCCGTAGTTGAACATAGGTCGTATTTTTATAGTGTAAGTAAATAATAGCGCATTAAAAAAATCAGGCCGATGACCTACTGTTCTACAAAGATAACCTACATCAAATGTCGAGAATTAAAACGGTGTTCATTTTTAACGGTACAACAGTTGAGCTGTTTCTCAGAAAATTATAATGTGATAAGTAAAGACCATAATTTCTTTTTAAAACCAGTGTCCAAGACAA